CTCTTGAAATTAGAACTCATTTAACTAATAATTTAAATTATGAGTTATGTTTATACATATATATTACAAAGATTGTTATTTAGTTGCTAAGTTGCGTCCAACTTTTTTGCAACCCCATGAACTGTAGCCCACCAGGCTCCTCTGTCCATAGGATTATTTCAGCAAGAATACTGGAGTGGGTTGCCGTTTCCATCTCCAGGGATCGAACCTGCATCTCTTGCTTGGCAGGCAGATTCTTTACCACTGAGCCACCAGGGAAGTCCATATTACATAAATACAATTATAAAAAGCATTATAATTTACAAAACTACAGTAAGTCTAAGTTATAATTTAAATAAAAGTATATAACATATAATGCATTTAATATATGTCATGGGTAATGTTTAGAGCAGTATTTAGTGTAAAAAAATTTCTAGACAATTCCTTGGATTTTTCAGCAAGAGATTATGAATTATGAAATTTCAAAACGTGTGATTCTAACCTCTCCACAGACTACTGGGCCATATACTCGCCCTGGCCTCATCAGAGGAGATGCGGGTGTGTTGCAGAGCTGTCCTCTCTTTACATCCTGAGCTTACTCGACTCTTCACTTAGAGCTGGCTGAGTCAGGCAGGGTGGTGGGATTGAGCCCGCCAGATTGTGGGCACAGGAGGGGAAAAACTGTGGGCTGGAGAGCCATGTCTTTTCATGCTGTTCACGGGGTTCTCAAGGCAAGAATACTGAACTGGTTTGCCACTCCCTTCTCCAGTGGACCACATTCTGTCAGACCTCTCCACCATGACCTGTCGTTTTGGGTGGCCCCACACGGCATGGCTTAGTTTCACTGAGTTAGACAAGGCTGTGGTCCTGTGATCAGACTGGCTAGTTGTGATTGTGGTTTCAGTCTGTCTTCCCTCTGATCCCCTCTCTCAGTGCCTACCGTCTTACTTGGGTACTTACATACTGTGGGCAGTGGCCACAGGACTGGAAAAGGTCAGTTTTCATTCCAATCCCAAAGAAAGGCAATGCCAAAGAAGGCTCAAACTACCGCATAATTGCACTCATCTCACATGCTAGTAAAGTGATGCTTAAAATTCTCCAAGCCAGGCTTCAGCAATACATGAACCATGAACTTCCAGATGTTCAAGCTGGTTTTAGAAAAGGCAGAGGAACCAGAGATCAAATTGCCAACATCTGCTGGATCATCGAAAAAGCAAGAGAGTTCCAGAAAAACATCTATTTCTGCTTTATTGACTATGCCAAAGCCTTTGACTGTGTGGATCACAATAAACTGTGGAAAATTCTGAAAGAGATGGGAATACCAGACCACCTGACCTGCCTCTTGAGAAACCTGTATGCAGGTCAGGAAGCAACAGTTAGAACTGGACATGGAACAACAGACTGGTTCCAAATAGGAAAAGGAGTACGTCAAGGCTGTATATTGTCACCCTGCTTATTTAACTTATATGCAGAGTACATCATGAGAAATGCTGGGCTGGATGAAGCACAAGCTGGAATCAAGATTGCTGGGAGAAATATCAATAACCTCAGATATGCAGATGACACCACCCTTATGGCAGAAAGTGAAGAAGAACTAAAGAGCCTCTTGATGAAAGTGAAAGAGGAGAGTGAAAAAGTTGGCTTAAAGCTCAACATTCAGAAAACTAAGATCATGGCATCTGGTCCCATCACCTCATGGGAAATAGATGGGGAGACAGTGGAAACAGTGTCAGACTTTATTTTTTTGGGCTCCAAAATCACTGCAGATGGTGACTGCAGCCATGAAATTAAAAGACGCTTACTCCTTGGAAGGAAAGTTACGACCAATCTAGATAGCATATTAAAAAGGAGAGACATTACTTTGCCAACAAAGGTCCATCTAGTCAAGGCTAGGGTTTTTCCAGTGGTCATGTATGGATGTGAGAATTGGACTGTGAAGAAAGCTGAACACCAAAAAATTGATGCTTTTGTACCATGGTGTTGGAGAAGACTCTTAGTCCTTTGGACTGCAAGGAGATCCACGCAATCCATCCTGAAGGAGATCAGTCCTGGGTGTTCATTGCAAGGACTGATGCTGAAGCTGAAACTCCAGTACTTTGGCCACCTAATGCAAAGAGCTGACTCATTGGAAAAGACCCTGATGCTGGGAAAGATTGAGGGTAGGAGGAGAAGGGGATGACAGAGGATGAGATGGTTGGATGGCATCACCGACTTGATGGACATGGGTTTGGGTGGATAGCGGGAGTTGGTGATGGACAGGGAGGCCTGGCGTGCTGCGGTTCATGGGGTCACAGAGAGTCAAACGCGACTGAACTGAACTGAGCCATGTCTGGTTAGAAAGGTGGGGCTAGCAGAGTCAGGCTGGAGTTGAACAGCTTACTGGCTGGACTGCCACACACTCCGTACCCCTTCTGTGTGGAGGGTGACTGCTGTGCCAACAGGGAACGGACAGTGCTGGGGGGATGGGGAGGAGGTCACAAGGAGGAAGGATGGGGAAGCTCAGAAGGATCTTGGCCTTGAAGGGTGGGCAGACAATAGCGGGAGAAGAGACACACGCTATTCAGACAGTTCCAGGTTTATCCAGAGAGCCATCTGTCTCTGTAAGTCACCGCTGTAGGGGCTGAAATGTAGATATCAGCCCTCTGAGGCTGCTAGGATATGGTCAGCTATGAGTCAGGGGCGTAACCATAATGTTTGTGGTGGATAAACCTAGATAGATTTTGTTGTCATTTTTTCATTAGTTTTAAATGAATGCTTGTTCTGTTGTTTGTTTTTAAATGTATTAAGTTATTTCTAACCCAGCACCAGATGTACTGGCTAAATTCTAGGGATTCACTGGGAACCCAAACCAGACATCATGTTCCCACATCGCATGGAGTTCACAGTTAGATGGGAGAAACAGATTTTAATCAAATAAGCACAAATCTAAATGTGACAAGTAGTCCATGGGAAAGCCACATGGTCCTGGTAGGAGAGCTGAGAGATTTAATACAGATAGGATATATTCTGGAGGGTTTCCCAGGTGGTGCAGTGGTAAAGAATTCCCTGCCAATGCATGGGGCTGCATGAGATCTAAGAGACGTGGGTTTGATACCGGGGTCAGGGAGAAGAGAAGGAAATGGCAACCCACTCCAGTATTCTTGCCTGGAGAATCCCATGGACAGAGGAGCCTGGCAGGCTACAGTCCATGGGGTCACAAAGAGTTGGACAGACTGAGTGACTGACTAACACACACACACACACACACACACACACACACCTTCTTCAGGATGTTTTCCTTTGTTTACTGGAAAGTTGTCTTAATGTGATTTTGTTAGAACAAAACTCCTTACTGCCATCTTCCAGAAAACTGTCCTCATAAACACAAAAGCCTATGATATTTATGACATAAGTGGTGCTCCCTTTAGATGTGGTACCTTTGTGCAGTCCGCAACCTGCACAACCATAGTTTAGTGGCCTTGGAACTCTAATGATAAAAAAGAAAAGGAAAAAGTAACTTTTTTTCCCTTAAATTAATATATCATATATAATATAAATAGTTATATATAGATGTGAGAGTTGGACTATAACAAAGGCTGAGCACTGAAGAACTGATGCTTTTAAACTGTGGAGCTGGAAAAGACTCTTGAGAGTCCCTTGGACTGCAAGGAGATCAAACCAGTCAATCCTAAAGGAAATCAATTCTGAATATTGATTGGAAGGACTGATGATAAGCTGAAGCTCCAATACTTTGGCCACCTGATGTGAAGAGCCAACTCACTGGAAAAGACTCTGATGCTGGGAAAGATAGGAGGCAGGAAAAGAAGGGAACAGAGTATGAGATGGTTGAATGGCATCACTGACTCAGTGGACATGAAGTGAAGTAAAAATCGCTCAGTCATGTCCTTGGTGACTGTATAGTCCATGGAATTCTCCAGGCCAGAATACTAGAACACTAGAGTGGGTAGCCATTCCCTTCTCCAGGGGATTTTCCCAACCCAGGGATTGAACTCAGGTCTCCTGCATTGCAGGCAGATTCTTTACCAGCTGAGCCACAAGGGAAGCCCAAGAATACTGGGGTGGGTAGCGTATCCCTTCTCCAGCAGATCTTCCCGACCCAGGAATCGAACTGGGGTCTCCTGCACTGCAGGCGGATTCTTTGCTTGCTGAGCCACCAGGGGAGCCAGGTGGACATGAGTGTGAGCAAACTCGGGGAGATGGTGAAGGACAGGGAAGCCTGGCGTTCTGCAGTCCACAGGGTCGCAGAGTCAGACACAACTGGGTCACTAAACAATAACAATTATATAAATGGGATGAGAAATAACATTTTGTGTTGCTGTCTTCTAAGGCCTAATTACAAACAAGACTAACTTCCCAACGCTTACCATGCTGCCTAGGCTCAGAGCTACTGGGAAAGAGTAAGAGATCCAAATGGCAAAAGGAAGGGACCCTCCCCAGGCCTGGATGAATGGGGACCGACAGCTCACAAGGTTTTATACTAAATATGAGATGTCTGTAGGATGTGGGATACAGAGAGGAGCCCGCCGAGCTGCGCTGCAACCACAGTTAACCACAGCCCTCCCGACTCTGCCAGACCACATGGGGCGGGGGCAGCTCACGAGGGCGCGAGGGTCACAGGCTGTGTGAGGAAGAACCACGAGCCAAGCGAAAGGTCCTCATCTCATTACAACTGGAGATACATCCATACAAGCTCGCGTGAATGGATTCTGTGCTATTTTAACATTCCACTTGCAACCAGACATCTCTCAGTCTAAGCTCAACTTCACAAGCAATAATTTTCCAACACTGTATCAAGAAATAGCAATAAAATCCTGTGTGTATTATTAGACTCCCTAGAAGTTGATATATGCACTGAACTCAGTACCAATTGCTCTCTTATTTCCAGGGGTATAGAGCCAATTGTTTTTTCTTAAACGAAAAGTATTACCTTCATAGATTTTTCTGGCTGATTCTGACAAAATAAATAAATAAATAAAAAGACGCACTGTGGTTCTCTCCCATCCTGGTCTGGACCATAATGTCTATCTCAAGCTTTTATCTCTGGCCCTGGTACCCACGTCTTCGGCAGAACGTCGTCCCGGCAGAGCATCCCGGCAGAGCGCAGGCGCACTTACTGCTCTCTGGACGGAAGATGCACCGGTGCCTTCGTCTTCGTCTGGCTCCCGGTCTTCGTTGTCAGTCCAAGAGGACACGTCCTCTGTGGAGCTGGTCAGGTCAGGCAGACTCTTAGATGTCAGCCTCAGGAGGTCCTCGGCAGAATTCTCCTGTGGGGAAACAGCGAGAGGCCCGCGAATTACCCTGTGATATCAAGGTCAAGGAAACATAGCAGAGTCAACGGCGAGTGCTCCCGTGTTCCCAATCCAAAGACTACATGGAGTATACGTTCCCCATTTCCAGGTGTGCGAGGTGAATTCACATGTCAGGGGTATAGGGCCAATTTGAACCTAGAGTTTGTTTTTTTTTCCTTGATGAATCAGTATTTCTTAGGTGAATGTTTCTATGAGTAATCTAAGCTCCCTGAACTTAAGATCCTTCGATGCTCCCACCGTCTTACTTTCAGGATATAGTTTAAACTCCCTCATTGGCAGGCCAACATCAGAGATTTGGCCTCTGCCCAGCTCTCCAAACTCACCTGCCTCCACTCTGCCCTCCAAGCTTCCCTTCCACTCAAGCCCCCCTGACTTTCAAACATGCCAGGCTCTCCCCAGCCATGCTTCCTCTCTCAGCTGCAGCTCCCCCTGTCTAGACCACTCTTCTTCCCAAGACTAAGGCCTCTGTGGTCAAAGCTTGCACATCCTCTCTTGCAAGGCTTCCTGGAGTCCCACCTTTCTCCTCTCGTGTCCTCTACCATTTACCGCCTCACTGTGGGTATGTAACTTATTCGTCTATCTCCCTTTTTGTCTGAGAGTTCCCCAAACCATGTCGACTCAGCGCTGTGTCCCCAGGTCGAGCTCAGACATCCACTATATTCTCCTCTCACTCACTGCTCATCTCACAAGCCCCTGTTGGTTAGAAAGATTAGATCATTTACTGAATCTCAATGAGACTGGAGACTGATAATGTCTGCCACGAAAGCAGTCCTTGAACAACTTTTAAAGGACAACAGAAATACATGGAGTCACATTCTATTAAGATTAGACTCCAAAGGGGGCTTCATCAACACAGCCCTTCCTTCCTAGACACAGATAAAGTCAGAATGGGTGTGCAGTGCAGGTGAGATCCATGAGGCCACGTGACAATCCCAAGGACAAATGAGGCAGGCACAGGAGCTGAGAGCTCTCCTGGGAAAGGACATGACACGCGAGGCCAGGGACCAGGGCTACAGGGCTGATCTGAGGCCAGCATGAAAGAGCAACGTGCCCTCTCCTCTTTCTGCCAAACCAGCAGTTTCTACCAGGAAGGAAACATGTGGAAAGTTTTGATCATCATATTCCTTGGGGGATGACAGAAGACAGAACAACAAAGAAGACCCAGCTTATAAAAGGGACATTACAAACTACCAGTGAGTTGACACCTGGTGAATGACCTTTGTTCCTAGTTTGATGCGGATTCCACTCCTTCAAGGTACCTGAACCTCATTCATTTTAGATCAGTAATTCGTGACTACCATACTTTCAGACCTTGCCCAAGGAAAGGAAAAAGAGTTATTTGCGAGAAAGTGAGCCGAATCCTTTTCTGTGATGTCAACGCTGCTCAACTATTAATAGCAGAAAGCTTAAAAGAGTGAAAGTTCCAACTGTTGAATAAATTGCACAACAGCCACAAGATGGAATACTCACTGTCATTAAAAATGTTGATCTAGAAATACATTTCCTGATGGGCAAAGAGCTCTTTTAGCGGGCTACTTAGTGAAAAAGCAGGTTAAAGATAATAAGGACCATATTAGTAACAGATGTAAAAATAACCTGGATACAATACGAAAACCATAAAGACACACATTTCTCCAAGTGCTCACTGTGACCAACTACACTGTTTAGAGATCTTTATAGTTCATTTAATCTTCCTAACATCCCATGAAGCAGTTATTGATTCTCACTGTACAAGTAAGATTTCGAAAGAAACACTAACTTGCTGAAGATACACAGCTTTTAAAGGGCTGTGCTGGCCCTTGAATTCTGATGGGACTGCTTCCAGGTACACTGTCTCCTTGTGTTTGATTCCATTTAAAAGAAAACGTGTTCCTGTCTGGAAGGAAACGCCAGTTAGAGGATGGTACTATTGGCAATATTAGACATTTTATCATGTTTTTCTTCTCTATACTTTTTTTCTGGGTTTTCTACATTAGATACAATGAATACATATTTCTTGATAATAAAAACCAAGAGTGAAACAAAAAAGAGACAGTGCATAAGAGAAATCTGTGTGGCTATGCATGTACTTCCAGGAAAATCAAGATGAACTTGGATATTCTGAGTTTATTCACTCAACAAAAAATTTCTAAGCTCCTCTCTTATACACAAATGACATACTGTGCAGAAACACGAGAAATCCTTTCCAAAGACAGTAACTGTTCTATTTCTAAAACAATGCCTGTTAAGTTTTGTGACAAGGTGATGCTTATCTGCAACAATAATTTAGATTTTTTTTTTTTTACTATTTCTGTATAGTATATATACTATATGTATACTATATACTATATAGTATATATACTATACTATAGTAATATACTATATGTGGCAAGTCAAAAGTTTTTCTTTCTTTTCTCTTTCTCTTCGAATATAAAGGCAGAACTGATGTCTGTAGATGATTTGTTCTTTGGGATAAAGAAGAGGAACAGAAGTCAAGCAGTGCCTGACGATCAGGTGCTTTTTCTCCATGGATGAGCACCTTGGACGGAGCAGATTAAGTTCAGGAGCAAACAGCTGGCAGCTGCTGCAGCAGCCTATATCACTTAGTTGTAGGTGAAGCAAATGGGAAGGAAGAGAAAGCTCTGAGGGCTGGTCAGCCTTAGGGCCGTAGCTCCGGACAGATGGCCAAGAGTCAACAGACTAAAAAGCAGAACGGACTCCTGTTCCTCACCTATGGACGCTGCTCAGCCCTACAAAGACCTCAACAAGTGTCCCAAAGTGTCCCAGCCTCTGGCAGGAACACGTGACCTTGTTCTAACACCATGGGCTCTGGATTCCTTTAAATCTTATGTGACTAAGCAGCAGCATAAAAGTCTGAAGGCCAGTGCACCCAGGATGAAAGCTGCTTCTGCCACCCATTGCCTGTATGACCTCTGGACAGATTAACTTATCTCTTAGGCTCTAATCTCATCTTCTGAATGAAAAGAACTAATGGCTCTCTCCTGGGATTCACTCTAAGAATTAACTGAGACAGTAGGTATAAAGCACCTGGCAACCAGTGGTACCCAGTACATGTGAGTGTCTTTCTTCAAGTTGATGAGTGATGTCTGTTTTAAAAAAATCTCACAAGTGCCCCCTAATTACTAGTTTTACCCACGAGGGGTCGTTTTTTGTTTTTGTATTTTCTTTGTGTCGTTTATGTATAATGACTGGCATAGAAGAGATTTCTTTCCCACTTTCCAAACTAGCAGGAGAAAGAAGTCAGCCCAGAAATAAAGGTTTGGTGGACATGCTTTAATGCCTGTGCAGAGCCCCCTGCGTGGTTAAGCTGCAAGCTTGAGGAGGTAGGGTGTGTGTGTGTAAGAACCAATAATGTTTTTCAAATTCCCACCACATCTGGTCAAATGAGGAATTTGTTTCAGCCTTTCCCTCCTTGTGGGATCCACTAGGCTGACCAAGAGCATCCCTGGCTTTGCTCCTGCCTCAACCCTAGGGAGAGGATCCCACGGCATCTCTTGGAGGCAAAGATGGGGTGTATGAATGGAGAAGGTCTCAATTCCTGCCTCCAGGGCTTCAGCATCAGCTCTTCCTGCCAAGTCTTTGCCAAGCTTTGAATTCTGGCTGGAAGCAGGATTTGGGGTACATGGTATAAAGGAGACTTCTCCAGCTAGAATAATGGAGTGGGTAGCCGTTCCCTTCTCCAGGTGATCTTCCTAACTCAGGAATCAAAACCAGGTCTCCCGCACTGCAGAGGGATTCTGTAACAGCTGAGCCACCAGCAAAGCCTAAAGGGGGAAGGAGATTTTTCAGACGACTCAAAATACTCACCTATTTATTAAACCCAGGGAGTGCTAGCGGTCAAGAATCTGCCTGCCAACGCAGGAGACACAAGAGACATGGATGGAAGGATCCCCTGGAGGAGGAAACGGCAACCCACTTCAGTATTCTTGCCTGAGAAATCTCACGGATAGGGGAGCCTGGCAGGCTACTGTTCATGGGGTCGCAAAGAGACGTGATTCAGCACACAAAACGGGCAATAGACTGTGCAGTCTAAGAAGGAAAATATATAAAAACCTGTGGATGCAGGGTTCGAAAGTAGCATCAAGGATAATTGGGGGAAATCAGACATCCTGGCGAGAGCTATTGCTGGGAAGCGTTAAGGACAGGGTGGTTCATACCAGTGCTCCCCTGAGCTGGAGCCAGGATGAACTGGAACGAAGCCCCGTGTCTCCACTGCACTAGACCCCGAGTCTGGAGTGTTCTCCCCTGGTCTCATGGATGTCACCACCTCATCAGACAATGGAGCAGAACGCAGACAGCCCTGTCCTCCCCTTGTCCCGCAGCCGCTGTCCCAGTGCCTCTCTGCAGCGCTCTAAGGCTGCCGAGACCCCGGGGAGAGAGCAGATAGGGGTCCCAGGCCTCAGCACGAGTTTCACATGCTCTGGTGGGTGGCGGGTGAAAGGAGTCCCAGCCTGAGGCCTCGTGAAGAAGAGGTGGCAGCCAGACAAGAGGGCATGGCCAGACTCGGTGTCATAGCAAGAGTCAGGGTCCTGACACTGTCAGCTGCATCATGGCCCCCTCGGAAGCTCTGCCTCGCTGGGTCATTTGTAAAACCGAGGAGGATGGGAGGGGGCGTAGCTGGATAAGCAAGGTTCACAAGGCTTCCTCTAGCACCGATGCTCTGTGCTGCCAGGGGTCAGAGCCCAGGCCTGCAGCCTGCCCATGCCACCCCGACCTCCTTCCGGCAGGTCCTGGAAGATGTACATCTCCATCTCTCTCTCCCGCCCCTGCTTCCACATCTCCTCCTTGGTTTCCCCTTGGGCCAGCTGCTACCCTCTCTATCCTGTCTTCTCTCCCATTCATCCCTTTCCCTTAGTCCTCGTGATGCTTTTTAATCCCCTAGATAAACCTATTGTGAAAGTAGCTCAGTTGTGTCCAACTCTGCATCCTAGTCCATGGAATTCTCCAGGCCAGAATGCTGGAGTGGGTAGCCATTCCCTTCTCCAGGGGATCTTCCCAACCCAAGGACCAAACCCAGGTCTCCCACATTGCAGGCAGATTCTTTACCAGCTGAGCTACCAGGGAGGCCCAGATATACCTACTAACGCTCTTAAAGGATGGCAAGATGATTAAATGCCCTTAAGCTCAGGGCCCCTTGTGGGCCTGCACTGCAGAATCATGGCTATTTGACTGGCCCAAGCAAAGCTGAGTATGCATGTGTTAGGAGGTGGTGGTGAGGGGGTTCATGGGGAGGGCTCACAACCAAATCTGCCACTGCCATTCAAAATATTTTACAAAACAAACAAATCCACCTACCTTGCTGGCCACCACCAGCTGAACCACTCCAGTGGCTGAGCGAAGAATGGCCACAGCTTCCTCGTGGGAGAGCCCAACTAGTAAGTGACCATTGATTACCAGCAGCTCATCTCCTAAGGACAGTCTGCCATCCCTGAGGAAATGGAGATGGGAAAAAAAAAAATCCCTTGTCAAGATGTTCTAGGCTTGAGAAGGGCCATCTTCCTGGAGTTGGGGAGGGTTGTCAGAAGGAGACAGTCCAAAATGGGCTACAGAGGAGTAGGGAAGATGGGGACAGCTGGGGTGGGACTGCTCATCCTTCTTTCAGGGTCCAAATGCCCAGTTAGCAGAGCTAGGAGCTTCACGATTTCAGAAGGTCCCTTAGTTACAGGCACGATTGTAAGTTACCACCATATCCTACATCAATGTCAATGAAACACCATCCATCCAGGTGGAGACATGATGGAGAGGAACCGAGACCCCAAAGCTTTAGGATAGTTAAGTCTTTCTTTTCTCAACCCTACCTGCTATCCTGCCCTTGTGACTGAGTTATCAGCTGAGTCTCTGAGCTGAGCCCCAGAAGAACGAAGGTATCCGAAGCTCGCCAGGAATCCTTCCCTAACCCAAGTCCCTCTCTCTCCCCAGGATTTCCTCTGTGGCACCTGAGACCCTGCACCTCATGCATCTGTAACCCCTGCACCCAAGAGTCACGGGGCTTTGCGGGTCAAGTCTCAAACTGCCTCCTTCCTCCTTGTGTCTCTGCCGCCAAGCTCCATAAGCAGACGGATGAACAGAAAAATGAACAAAGAAACTGCCTAAGTTACTGCTGTTGCAGGGAACAGAGCTGGTGTACATCACAGGCATGCAAATATGTTCTCTTTGTTTCCTTTAAATTAACTGAATTACTTGGAGCTTCCTTCCTACTGGGCTGGGAGGAGGTCCAGTCACTACAGGGTCTGCCTGCCCTACAGAGGTCCAGGGGACAGATGATTATAGAGCACCAGGCAGGCCTCATCAGTCATGGGGGGGTCAACAGTTCTGTGGGTGCCAACTGAGCCTCAAATGGCCTGGTCTCCCACGATCCCAAGGCATCCAGAGGCTTTCATCCCCACTGCTAAATATGAGATGGGGAATTGGGTGAAGCTGAGAGCCCCAAAGCCCAGGTCCCACCATCCCCTCTGGAGGCTTTGCATCAGCACCCAGGATTTAGGGGTGGGACTCACACTTGATCCTCACACAGATTTCACCCCAGTGTTTTTCTCTCCGGTCTATAGACTCTCTCCTCCTTGCTTTCTTTCAAAGAATTAACCAACTTCCCTCTCTTCCTCTCCCTCACCATTTTCTCTCTCTGTCCTCTAGGGCATGTATCATTATCTTTTCTATGAATTTAGGCTTTAACAGAAGACAGGAGGCGTGAGAGACTGCTGATAATCTCTGCTTTCTATCCTTCAAAAATCCTGAAAGCAAAGAAATGCTCAGAATCACAGTAGATGCTTGAGATGGAAAGAGAAGACAAAGAGCGGAACCATGGAGAATAAGCACATTGGAACCTCAAGGAGGCATGAGGGTGAGCTCTCTGAAGGAGAGGCATTCAGGAATACAGGAGAACACAGTGGTCTGGGCCAGGGTCCTTGGGTTTACTTATCCACACCACCATCAAGACACCCGTTTCTCTGTTCCTCTTATTTTCCTCTTTGATCCCATCTTTCTCAGCTCCAGTTATTAACTAGAATGCCCCACATGTGAATTAAACACCCAGACACATACACACATACAGGCTAGGGGTGTAAGAAAATGGTGAGACCCATTAAAAAATGGCTCACTTGAAAAATGGATAAGAAGAGTTCTATGTAACCTCAGCTCTGAGCACAGGAATTTCCTAATTGCCAACGTTCCAAAGACCTAGGAGTAATGGGGAAATGGCTCCCTGATGAGAATTCTTTAAAGCATCTACCCTTTGGGAAGTATGATGATGTTCTGGATAAGCACTACCTAAGGTCTTAAACCTTCGATAATTACTGCCACCCAGATAAGTGACACCTGAAGTTAATCTCTTCTCTACTCAGGCTAGCAGGATCATACTTTCTAGTTATGGGACCGATGAGCATTGAACACCTTGATAATCTGTGCACTAGTCCTCTCCTCAGTATTCTGTTCTTCAGACCAAATACTTCAAGCTCCTTCAACTTTGCCTAATGAGATATGTTTTTGAGAGACCCCAAGGTCTTGGGCAGGGCATTACTGCTCTGGTTTGCCATTTCCCTCTTAGCATCAGGGTACCTGGGCTGAATACTAATTCCAGACTGGAATCACCACCCTCATCAGTGAAATTCCACCTTTACCCACTTATGCTATACAGATGGGCATCCAACATACGAATACACCCTACGGTGCTTTGCAAATAGTAGACGTCCTATGTATACAGGAGCAATCAGCCACGTAAGTAGGAGCTACCTTCCATCTCAGGACGGCTACCTCCCTCTGACTCAACATGGACTTCTTTGACATGCTCTGCCTAAGCACCACCCATCTTTCTACTTCAGAGACTGCTAAGGTTAAAAAAGGAGCTTTGGAGTGTGAATGGTTTTTAGGTCACAAGGAGAAAACTCACATTTATTTTTCTCCCTCCACACCTGCATGACCAAGACACACGTGTTTACATGTGCATCAAATCTTGACAGACATGACGTGGCAGGTGGACTGTGGTCACATTTAAACCCCATCACTTTCCCAAGTCGTCAGCCACAGTGACGATGTGAAGGATGTGGTGTTCCACCATGTGGGACACTCCTGATAAGAAATCACGTGTCACCAGCATCCCCAAACTCAGGATAACATTCACTTGACACTCAAACTGGACTAGAAAGAAATTTAATCCCTCCTTCGCGCAGTGGCCCCACCAATTAGCCACTTCCTGTGCTCAGAAGGGTATTTAATTAGAACTGCTCGTGCCCGATTTCCTGCCATGCTCCAGCACCTTCCTTGTAAGCTGTAATCACCAGGCCTTTGACTACCCCCTGGCACCCGGGGGCAGGGGAGGGGAGGACAAGGAAGCAGAGAGAGGGGGGAGTTATCTAGTCACCTGTGAGCGGCACCGCCTTCCTTCACTTGGGTGACAACGATAGCGTGAGGTGAGCGCTTTGATCCTCGGCCTCCACTAACCTGAATTCCCAGCCCATCCGATTCTTTAAGCAGCTCCATCTTCCATATCCGGCCAACTTCCTCCTTGGAAGAAAAAGTGAGTACACTGTGAAGCATCTGGACAGACACGCACCATTGTCGCAGGGGAGGTCGGGCCGAGCCCCATCACTTGTTGACACACACTGCAGAGGACCACCGACGAGAAAACTCTATGGGTTGGACCAACGTCTCGAGCAGTCAGTGCTGCCCAATCCAGTTCTCTATGATGACAAGAGTATTCTGTGTCTGCATCATCTAACAGGACAGCTGCCAGCCACAGGTGGCTGTCGAATGCCTGAAATGTGACTGCTGGCAAAGGAGACACTGAAAGTTTCATTTCATTTTGATTAAACTGAATGAGCCACCTGGGGCCAGGGAGATGACTTTGGACAGCATGGCAAAGGTGATGTGTGAATTCCCTGACCAGGATCCTGTTAAGTAAAGCTCTTCTGCCTGAAACCCAGATACCACTATGTGAGTAAACACTGGCTGTATCTGGGTTCCGTTTATTTACGACAGCTACTAATTAATAAAGGGAGATGGAAGGAAGACAGAGCCAGGAGACATCAACTAGTTTGAGCCAAGCTTTACCACTTAGTACTTATGAAAATCACTTGAGGCCTCAAAACCTCAGTTTCCCTGCCTTTAAAGTGGGAATCATTATTAAAACTTCTGAGTCTGGTGTTAAGATTAAATGAGAAAGAAAGCAGGCGGCAGTGCTCCTGACATCTAGTAAGATACATAATAAACGTTAATCGGTAACCATATGTGACTCACACATGCATAAATGTTAAAAACATCACATTGAATTGAATCTTAAACTTCCTGAAAACATGTGAATGAGATCTTGGAGAAATCAAAATAGGAAATTCACTGGTGAATTTGTTATCAACTTCTACACACATTGGTCAATATGCTGTTTATAAACATTAAAAAATGCTATGACAACTATAAAAATCTATCCTTTTTATTTTACTTATTTTTTGGCCATGTGGGGTCTCAGTTCCCCGACCAGGGATTGAACCCATGCCCCCAGCATTGGATGAATGGATCCTTAACCACTGGACTGCCAGGAATTTCCCAAAATCCATCATTTTTAAAAACTAATAGAGGTCTGTAGGGCTTCCCTGGTGGCTCAGTGGTAAAGATTCTGCCTGCCATGTAGGAGACTTGCAGGAGATGCAGGTTCGATCCCTGGGTCAGAAAGATCCCCTGGAGAAGGAAATGGCAACCCACTCCAGTATTCTTGTCTGGAGAATCCCACGGACAGAGGAGCCTGGTGGGCTACAGTCTGTGGGGTCACGAAAGTGTTGGACGTGACTGAACTAAACAACAAAAAAAAAGGTCTCTAAGTCCTCTGAACTGCTTTGGTTCCTTCTCTATTTGACTCCATATTCCATTCCAAGGACACAAACATACATCCACTCAAAACACTGGAGTTCCCTCAGACACTCAGCTATTCAGAGAAATGAAAGCAAAAGCTTCCAAAGTGGTTTATCTGGGAGGCTGACTTTAGGCTCATCCCAAAGTCCTTTTTAGTTCTAGGTATATAGGTAGGGATCCCAATGCATTTCTCAATTTATAAAGCAAAAACCATCTGCTTTCTCCATCTACCACGAAGGTTCAATGGAGCTGCTAAGGCCCAATACAGACAAAGCCATCATCTCCCCCAAAATAGGCAACCTGCCCATTCAAGCTGTTTGCAAAAGAGAAAAAATGTGAGGCATTTAGAAAATCTGAAGTGCATACTGTCAGAAACTAAAATGAGGCTTTATGCAATAGTAAAAAAAACAGATGTAGAATGGTCACTGATGTGCAGCAACAGGAATGTCTAGGGAAATTATTAGCAGACAGAGACTTGTTGGGTCCTACTCTTTTCCAAGCCCAGGGCTGCTCACAGGGGCCCCACAATTCCAGCAACACGCGGTGATGCCAGCTGTCTCCTCCATCCACTGACCACAGGCCCATGAAGCCTGTCTGGCCAAATGTAACTTCAGAAGTCACTGGCTTACCACAGTAGTTCATGAACTTGTCAACAAGCCCTACATCATCCCATCGTCTCACTTTGGACTCCCTGGGTTTTGGTTTGTTGCCTCTGACCTCTGGAACACCTTTCCTTCCCATTCAGGAACAGCCTTCCCTGCCTTCAGAGTCTCTCACAGCTTCACTCCTTCCAAGAAGCCATCCTTGAGAATTACCACGATGCAGCAACTTTCGATACTTCCAGTACATGAGACTGTATGCCAGGAGGAGAACCAAAGAGAGCACAGGCAGGGGTGTGCTGATTAGCTGTTGTCTTGGAGAGCTGAGCATCCTGCATTTACACACAGGCCAGTCCTGTGGCTGCCTCCCTGGGCCTCACAGAGCAGGTAAGAAATGAGCACAGATGGTGGCCTGACTTTCTTTTCCCTTGGAAGATATCCCATGGCTCCTGATGTCCTGAAGATGCGGGACAGTGTTCTTCTCTCTCCCAGTACAGAAAAGCTATGGAACTCTTTCCCAAGAACAACAGGGACCATTATTAGAGCCCAGATACAAGAAAATTCCTTCAGTTCTAGACCAAATTAGTAAAAACGTATCCATCCCTATGACTAATTACACCATCATTTTCTCCCATCCTATCCTCTTTTGGCTAAACATAAGATGTTAGGTATGGTTCACAGAGGATGTGACAATACTGGATACAGTTCTAGTTCTTAAATGCTTTTTAAGGACTTGTGACAAGAAACATGCTGAACTATGATCATGGGGAAAGAAGGATGGCCTAAATGTTTACCCTGACAGAGGAGTTAAAGACAGTATTCATTGAGAACACCCAGTATTCATTGAGACACCCACAAACCCGCTCCACACCCCTGCCCAAGATGCACACAACTAGTTGAAAGTAAAGCAAAACCACATATCTAATATAAATGACTTCAGAGGGGGACTTCTCTGAAGGTCCAGTGGTTATGGTTTCATCTTCCAATGCAGGAGATGTGGGTGTGAATCCTGGTCAGGGAGCTAAGATCCAACATGCCTCTTGGCCAAAAAACCAAAACATAAAACTGAATCAATATTGTAACAAATTCAATAAAGATTTTAAGAATGGTCCACGGCCACAGGAGGCAGGAATATACAATGGAGAAAAGATAGCCTCTTCAATAAGTGGTGCTGGGAAAACTGAACAGCTACACATAAAAGAATGAAATAGAACACCTCCTAACACCGTACACGAAAATGAACTCAGATGGATTAAAGACATAAATGTAAGGTCAGAAAACTCTTAGAGGAAAACATACGCAGTACACTCCTTGACATAAATCATAGCAAGATTCTCTATGACCCACCTCTGAGAGCAATGGAAATAAAAACAAAAATAAACAAGTGGGACCTAATTAAACTTAAAAGCTTTTGCACAGCAAAGGAAACTGTGAACAAGATGAAAAGACAACCCTCAGAATGGGGAAAAATAATTGCAAATGAAACAACTGACAAAGGCTAAATCTTCAAAACACATAAGCAGCTCAGGCAGCTCAATACTAGAAAAACAAACAGCCCAATCAAAAAGTGGGAGGAAGACCTAAACAGACTTTCCTCCAAAGAGACATACAGATGGCCAACAAAAACAAGAAAAGATACTCAACAGCACTCAATATCAGACAAATGCAAGTCAAAACTACAATAAGTTAGCAATTCGCACCAGTCAGAATGGCCATCATCAAAAAATCTACAACCAATAAATGTTGGAAAGGGTGTGGGGAAAAAGGGAATCTTCTTGCACTGTTGGTGGGAATGCAAATTGATATAGCCACTGTGGAGAACAGTATGGAGATTCCTTAAAAAAAAGAACAACTAGGAATAAAACTACCATATGACCCAGTAATCCTGCGACTGGACATATACTCTGAGAAAACCATAAATGAAAAAGCCACATGTACCCCAATGTTAACAGTAGCACTATTTACAACAGCGAAGACACAGAAGCAACCCGCATGTCCATTGGCAGATGAATGGAAAAAGAAGTTGTGGTACATATATACCATGGAGCATTACTCAGTCATAAAAAGGAACGCATTTGAGTCAGCTCTAGTGAGGTGAATGGACCTAGAGCCTATTATACAGAGTGAAGAAAGTCAGAAAGAGAAACAAATTTCATATATTAACACATATATATGGAATCTAGAAAAAATGGTACTGATGAACCTATCTGCAGGGCAGGAATAGAGATGCAGACATAAAAAACAGACTTTGGCCACATGGAGGAGGGGGAGGGTGGGATGAGTAGAGACAGCAGCACTGACATATATACCATCACGTGTGAAACAGAGAGCCAGCGGGAAGCTGCTATATGGGCACAGAGAGCTCAAGCTAGTGCTCTGTGAGGACCAAGAGGGTGGGGAGGAGGTTCCGGAGGGGAGGGGACATCTGTGTACTTGTGGCTCATGTGCATTGTTCTATGGTGGAGGCCAACACAATACTGTAAAGCAATTACAATAAATTAATTAAAATTTTAAATAAAAAGAATGGTCCACATTAAAAAAAAAAAATCTTAAAAAGCTTCAGAGGGCAGAAATGACCAATCTCTAATAAAGCCCCTAACTATACTAGCCCAGAAACAGATCTCCTTTCTCACTTTTATCCAATAAGATGATTCCCCTGCCCTAAGAGACCGTAGGAACTAAAAGGGGGAGAATTCAAAGAAAATGATGCAAGTTTCCTCACCATGGAATTTCTTGAGGAACACAAAGGAAGTCAGAAATAGGAAGCAGCAGATGCTATCAGTCTTAATTGTACAACTGTCGTATTAAATCTAGCTGCATACAGATGAAAGCAGTGTTCAGTTAAAAATAAAATCAGTAAAATAAAATAAAATAAAATCAGTGTCTGAAGTTTATTAGTCTAAAGCTGGAACTATCCAAAACCCAACAGGCCAACTTAAATACAATAATATCAGGTATATTCCCAACTGTCTTCTTACAATTCCACTTAAGATATCCACTACACACACCAGTACAGTCTCTCCTCTTCCTGGCTTTGTCATCTCAACGGGAATAGCAGTATCA